ATGTTAGACTGGTTATCTACTATCTCCAGGGTGGATCTCGCCGCCTGGGAACGTCTAACTCTACTTACGGAGTCCAACTCTCCTCCCAGTGAGGCCGATCAGACTGTTCTACGCCAATTCCTGGCCGCAGAGAACGTGGATCACATTACAGGCCTTGTCGGACTAGCACTCCTTGTTGATTGCAAATTGAGCACCAGCCTTGCCGGTTGGTTGACTAATGCTCAGTGGTGGGCCATGGTGCTGGCCCACGAGATTTCTTTGGAGTGCTGCCCCGATCCCGTAACTTCGGCCTGCGCCGCCCAGCAGCTCAGTCTCATTCTTCGTCTGTTAACCAATATAATTACTATCAAATGGTAAGCAATCACCGTTCTATGCCTTTGTCCATACTCCTTGCTTTTGAGTTCGCGTTCGGAGGGATATAGTCGCCTACTAACTCCTTCGCATTTCCTTTCTGGCCGGGCTCAGCTGTAAATATAATTTCAGTCTTCAATGTACTGATCTGCTTTCTTGTCTGAGCAGGGATTGTTCGGCTTAAAGGGGAGGTAATCGCGCTGGTTGACGTTTTTTATAGAGCTAAATTGATATTGGGACTGAAAGTAGTCGTGTGTTCTAACTTTTAACTGTTCATTCGGATATTGGCATACATTTGTTTGTTTACTACCTAGTTATTGCGATTTGGTTTCGAACTGATGGGAAGCTACTTACAATGAAAGAAAACGCTGTTCACTGCTGTCTAGGCCTTCTGCTACTCTTTCATATGACACCACCTATCGAAAGTTAAACGAATCTGAGGACAATAAAGCTTTAAGACTAGTTTTTTTTATTTGTATAGCTGATAGTCTTATCGCAATCTCACGCGGACACTTCCGACTTGTTGCTTTTACCTAACGAAACTGAGATTCTTTCGGTTCATCATTGGTCCATCTACTGTTTTCCTTGTGATTGTATTTCGTACTTGTGCTACGGTTCCTTAGCTAGCACGTTACACTCTTTTGGACTTGCTGCAAAGCCTCCTTCCCACATTCTAGTTGTAATCATTACGCCGATTTTCTGTTGAACTTGATATTATTCCACAGAGGGGTTTGCCTATAAATATTTTTGTTTTAACCCAGGGAATATCATTCTAAAGATATCTCCAATCTACGTCAATTATTTCTTGTGAAAGTTTAAGGCAGTTGTGATTTTTATTTAATATAGTTCTATATCCTGGCCGGAATTATTTACTTATGAATGCCCGTTCACGTCCGGCTTACAAAAGCACAAATGGTTTAACCATTCCCTCTCGGTGATCTCATATGAGATCACTTAAAAATTAAGAGCTTTCGTAATTATCTGTCTGTATGCACGCATATTTAACCTTCATGCTATATCTATTAGGTATATTTCTCTGATAGCCACATGAGATTTTTAAAAAATTCGCTCTAAATTAATTTATATACAAGTTTGAAAAACCATAGGTATCCAAGTTTCATAACAAAAATCAAAGTGGTTAAAATTATGGGAGGTAATGGGTTAAAAAAAGTCCTTCCGGTAATTTAACTTACATGTTAAGTTGAAAATAAATATGGCATGTGCATCGTAGTCCTTTTAGCGGTTTGCCTTTCTCCTTTCCATGTGGATTACGTCTCTCACTTGAGAGGCCACTAACCTTGCTTCCAACGTT